GTAGAACGTATATTATATGTAGAACGAATTAGTTAAGAAATCTACGTCTGTCGCATTTTATTCACGGTTCTAACCTTTTCTGACTGTAAAATAAAAAGCAACAGACGTAGATTTCTTATATACGAACTAACTCGTTTTTACGTCACTGCGCCCGCACGCCGGCCGGCCGGGCGGCGGACTATGAAAGCAGCCTATATCTTGAAGAGGCACCAGGAGACGTCCGGTCAATTATGTGACGGAAGTGGCAAAGAGCAAGATCAGTACTCTGCCTATAGGATTATGGAAATGCATCATGATGAGCAAGGGTAAAACTTCCTGATTCGGTTGGAGAGAAGTTCATATACAAAGTTCAGATTTAAAAAATGGCAACATTTAGAAACTGGTCAACAAATGAAATGAGGGAGACTCGCTGTGAGCGGTTTGCCATCAAACTGGGATTAGGAACTCTACCAGGACGGATTATTTCAACAAAATTCGCATTAATAGCCTTACTTACATAGTAATTTGATTCTTCTTGTATCCAAACAGCAATATGAAATCAGAGGATTGATAGGCATAAAGTGCGAGCTTCGTTTTTGGGAATGACTTCTCCAACTCGAATTCGATCGAATGCCAAATAAGGAAGAACAGCGGATCGTCGGCATATTTGCATTTTACTGCCCGCAAATCATTCTCGTCTGTCAACTGTTTCAGTTTCATTGTGTTTCTGAAAGTATTTAGTATCATCCCGGGGTTCCGAACCAACCATTAAACTCAAACTTCTTTGCATTCTTTTTAGGTTCTTGTCTAGTTGCACATAATGCTTTTGCTCATGTGATAAATAAATAAATCATTGAAATACTAGCAGTGAGCAAACTCAAGGACTATAAAACCTTCCAACATTATGGCATGATCAGGTGAAACTCACTCAATAGGAGGAATTGCGACAGTGTTGACATTATAAATGTAGTAATAATTATGATTATACTTATTGTATAGTTACATTATTTATACTATGTTATTTTACATACTTATCTCGTTGTTAGGCTGCACGATTCGGTAAGAAAAAAAAA